GACCCTTCTCACTCCCGTTAGCTGAGTGGCCGCGACTGGTGTACCACTGTTCCCCATTTGATGGAGGCGGCCCTAGCTAGCTGCCGCCTTAGCTCCCACCACGGCCGCCTCCACTGAGCCTTAAGCCATCAACAGTCCACTTGTCAAATCTTCTGTTACCGACGGCCGCAGTGAAGGCGTACAACCCGAGTGGCGACTGTTAGCGGTTTGCGCTCTATTGGTCTCGGGTTCACGCCGTGTGGCCTCCACTTGGTGGTGGGAAGATTAGGGCCCCCCTGGAGCGTTGAATCACGCTGTCAAAGGGTATTAGATTTGGTTTGGTCGAGCACTTAGTTAAAAATTCTTTAAATTAAAATAAAAAAATGCTTTTGGGTTTACCGCGAAATTTTCGTATTTGTAGCGGTTGTGATTAAAAGAATTGAATTTAATCTACTCCTTTAAATGCTGCTGCATATGTTTTGTAAATATATTTAATCACTGTGTTTGTTGTTGCACGGAAAATTGAAATTGAATTATGTGCCCTTTTGAATGCTTGTGCGTATGCTTTGTAATTGTATTTGATTGTTGCGTCTGTTTGCTGAAAGGAAAGTTTGATTTCATTTGAAATTGAATGTCGCGCTATTTGGAAAATTATGGATATGTTTTGTGATAGTGTTTAATCATTTTGCTTTGTGAAAAGGAAGGCTGAAATTAGATAACCCACTAATTCGGGTTTTATTTACTAATTTTTTATATACTAATTTAAATTTAAATGAATAAAAGTCAATTCCACTCCATCTAGTGGGGGGACGCCCTACACTTCGCCTGCCGGTACGAGGCTGCCACTCGAGAACCTTTTTTTCCCATCGGTTGTCGGTTCTTCGAGCTATATGGCCGGCCCATTGCCGTTTCAGCTTACTAATCCCTTGGGCTATGTCGGTCACTCTGGTTCAACTGCGGATATCCCCATTTCTAAGTTTATCACGCAGAGAAACTCCGAGCAAAGCCCTCTCCATAGCTCGCTGAGCGACCTTGAGCTACCTTATCCGGCCGGAAGGACCACGTCTCAGTTCCATATGTCATCACTGGCAGCACGCACTGGTTGTATTGTGGTTGTGTTGTGTCTCGTTTTCAATCCGTCGATTGACCTTTCGGTCAAAGTTGGACTTACCTAGTCGGACTATTTGTCCCAGGTAAACATACTCGTCAACAACTTCGAGCTTAGTGTTCCTAACAACTACCGGCATAGGTGTGACATGGACATTAAACATGATCTTTGTTTTGTCCATGTTCATCTTAAGACCTATCCGTTGGGAAACACTATTGAGGTCATTGAGCATAGTGCTTAGGTCCTCCAGCGATTCTGCCATAAGGACTATATCGTCGGCAAACCTAAGGTGAGTGATGTACTCGCCATTGATGTTGATACCGTATCCTTTCCAGTCCAGAAGCTTAAAAACGTCTTCCAATGCAGCGGTGAAGAGTTTCGGGGATATGACGTCACCCTGTCTTACACCTCTCTGCAATTGGATTGATTTCGTACTCTGGTTCTGTACTCGGATAGCCATCGTAGCCCTACTGTACAAGCACTTCAACACTTCGATATACCGACAGTCAACTTGGCACCGCTGAAGGGACTGCAGCACCGCCCAAATTTCGACGGAATCAAAGGCTTTCTCATAGTCCACATACGCCAGACATAGTGGCAAATTGTACTCCTCGGTCTTCTGTACAACTTGCCGAAGGGTGTGTATGTGGTCTATGGTGCTAAAGCCTTTTCGGAAACCGGCTTGTTCGGGAGGCTGGAAGTCGTCAAGTCTGCGCGCGAGACGATTCGTAATGACTCTCGAAAACAGCACGTAGACGCGCCTCAGAAGGGAAATCAGTCTGTAGTTCTTCAAGAGAGCGTCGTCACCTTTCTTGAAGAACAAGACCACCGCACTTCTGCTCCACGCCTCCGGTGTAATGCCACCATAGAGGACGGAATTAAAGAGCTTCTGAAGGACTTCAAGTACCGGTTTTCCACCAATTACGCTGCCACACTCGGTCTTCAGCTTCGACAGTTGGCTCTTTCTGGCAGACAAATCCCTAGCAAATACTTTGGAGCCCTGGTTCCGCTCGATCGCTTCTTCAATACGAGCAGTATTAAAGTTGCGTAAGTCGCATGCATTTGGAGATTTGTCTGTTCAGTTGCCTGTATGCTGTCAAATCTACTGAAGACTGCAGCTACATATCCCGTCTAACAGCCATGAGATTAAGAGTGTGATCGGAGAGTTTTTGTGTTCTTCTGCGGCGGGTCTTGCAAAACTTAGCTCCGACCGCATGGACAGTTTCCACGAGCTTGTCATTCATATCGTCCACTGCATTGCAATATTCTAGGCACTGAAAGCGGTTTCGTAGCTCGAGCTGAAAGTTTTCGGGACTTTGGATTAGAGCACGAGGGGGACGGAGCGTTGACTTCATTAGACGTGACCTCTCCAACTTAACGTTTAGGTTCAGTGTGCCTCTCACCATTCGGTGATCGCTGCCAGTTTTCACCCTCGCGATCACTGAGACATCACTGAACAGTTGTCGTCTGGTCGTCATAATGAAGTCAATCTCATTTTTTGTCTAACCGTCGGGGCTCGACTAGGTCCACTTCCTGTGGGGCCGCTTCTGGAAGAAAGAGTTCATCATAAAGAGTCCCTCTTTCTCCATGAAGTCGGCCAGCTGCTGGCCCCTTGGGTTCCGTTGCCCTATTCCGAATTTCCCTACTTTCAGCTCACCGTTCTCTCTTGTGCCTAGTTTTGCATTGAAGTCTCCCATTAACACCGTATAGTGGGTTTTGGAGGAAAGTATGGCTCTATAGATATCCTCATACATGTCCTCCACCTCCTCATCGGGGTTTGCCGAGGTTGGTGCGTAATCCTGTATTACCTTCAGCGAATACCGTTTGGTGATTCTGAGTATAAGGTACGCAACCCTCGTCGACACATTCCCAATGTTTACAACGTTGTTAACGAGAGACTTGTGGACGATAAATCCGACACCTCCTTGGGACAGATGGTGCCGGATTCGAGGATTACCGTGCCCTACCCCTCTCTTCGGACCTCAGATAATCCTATGATATTCCAGCGCAACTTGTCTATCTCTTCTTCCAACTCCAGGATCTTCTCGTCAGTCCTCAGTGTGCGTGCGTTATAAGTTGCCAGGTCGAGTCGTCGTAGGTGGCAACCGAACCTCCACCGGAGATTCTTAGCACCCCCGGCAAATATATAGATAAATACATATATTTTGTTAGTTTTCGCTTTAACTGTCACTGAAATCTGAATCTTCAGCATCGATTGATTAACTGATATCCTTGATTAATTGATAACCCCCAGAGAAACTGTCTGCCCTTTTGTGATAATTTTTTATTATATATACTTGATAAACACGCTGTAAAAATGGCAGATTAAATTATTCATTATTAAATTATTTAAAATAATTGGGGTAGTTTTCCCCTATGTCAACCCCTTCAAAAGTGTCTGCCATTTTTTTCTTAATTCTTTACCAACATAGCTGACGGATAGTTATTATTATTATTATTTGAATCAAACACTTTTTTCACATATCGACGACCGTCGCTCTCTGTCGCACTCATTACATATTTGTGTACCCGTAACACATTTGTCTCCTGTGCACGCAAGGTTTATTTAAATACTAGCTTTTCCCCGCGACTTCACCCACTTGTAATTTAGGGTTTTTTGCGCGGAACCCTAGTAGTTTTTCTAAAATAAAAGTAGCCTAAAATACTTGTTATAACATCAACTATGTGCCACTGAAACTCCCGTCAAAATCGGTCCAGCCATTTCGGAGATTACCCGGAACAAACAGACTAACAGACAGACAAAAATTTTAAAAATTGTCTTTTTGTTTTAAATATCGTATATAATATCATATGCGTTTTTTATATATTATATATTATATTTATATGCGTATTATTGTTACAACTACCTTAATGGTAGTTGTAACAAAAAAATAATAGGCAAATTATAAACACTGTTTTAGAAAGATGTGTTCTCCTATAATTGGTAGTACATAGTAATTTGTAGATGTAAGGCATGTATTAGAAGTAATTTAATATGTACAACTGTTGGAGATCCATACAAATAAATAAATAAATAAATAAATAAATAAATGCGTTTAGTAAAAAAAACTTAAATTTTATTTATTTGTATAGATTTTTAAATTAGTAACCCCCGGAGAAACTGTCTGCCCTTTTGTGAGAATTTTTTATTATATATAATAAACACGCTGTAAAAATGGTAGACAAACACTTTTTTTGGAATTTTTGAAAATACAACTTTGGGGTAGTCTGCCCCTATGTAAACCCCTTCAGAAGTGTCTGCCATTTTTTTTTCTTAATTCTCTATCAACTTAGCTGACGGATAGTCATTATTATTATTTGAATCAAACACTTTTTTTTTTGGGCAAATTTGTTTGCGACTTACCTGTATGCGCAATACCAGGTGTAACCAGGTAGGCCAGGCAGACAGTCATATACCTGCTTATTGAGTCGACTAATACCTTTAAACAAAGTTTCATGATGCATCAAACATTTCATGAAAAATGCGTCATGAGCTCTCGGACCAATAACTTAAAGTGCAAAATAATAATAACACGGGAAAATAAAAATGCAGAAAATTCGGTCGACTAATTGTGTCTTATTCCAATAATAATGTTATATTTATATATGTTACTTAAAAAAATCAACACCACTTAATTAAGTGATCTGTGTTATGAATATAAAACAGCCACTGTAGTACCTGCATAATATTTAACAATAGTGAACACGTGTTTATTATAAATAGTGATCCTTAATTTTAAATACATAACTAACAACTATATTTTATAAATTAAACTATTGATAACGTAATCAATAATGTTACAAACATTATCTGTTGATAATCTGGTGTGTACGTAACAAAATCGCTGTAGATAGTAGCAGTGCAGAAAAGTTTTGTTAAATTTAAATATTTATGTAATTAATGTTTAAAAAAATGGTGTGGGAAAATTGTAATGTAACTTTAAACAGTGGTGAAGGCGGAATCTTATACACAGGCGAAATTGTTACTGGATCTGTTATTATAGAATTTAAAAAGGAACAAAAAATTGAATGTTAATTAAATGACAAATTGTTATTTTTGTAGTCTTAAAGTTTTGCTTATTAAATATAAATGTTTATGTCGTTTCAGATGTTGAGTTCAAAGTTATAGGTATAACCAAGGCTAGATGGTCAAGAGTAATGCCTACAGTTCCATATTTGAGGATTTATTCGGGAAAGTGTAAAGTTCTGGATACAACCGTTAATATTTTTAGTGAAATCAATGGTAAATTTGAAACTATATGGAACATACAATATACAGTTTTAGTGATTCTTATAAATTACAAATGGTTTTAGGTAAAAAGATACAGCCGGGGATGAAAAATTTTCAATTCCACTTTAACCTACCAAGTGATTTGCCATCGACGTTCAAAAGTTCTATTGCTAAAGTGTATTATTACATTAGAATAAAATGCAAAGGATCTTTTAATCGTAATAAGATAAAAATTGTTCCATTTGTCGTTATGAGCAGCGTGGACCTTAACCATCGAGATGATATCAAGGTAAGTAAATATTAAGGAAGGAAACAGGTTTGTCACAGAAAATCACACTATCGCAAAACCTTCTCTTTCACAGTCTGATATTTAAATAGCGATACTGGTGTTGTTTATTCCAATACAGATACAAAGAGCAATGGCAGAAAAATAGTTGACAAAAATTATAGCGTTTAGAAATAAGTTATATATAAAATGAGTTTTATTATTTTTCTATGATTTTTGAAATAAAAATGTATTTTAATTAAAGCCACAGATAAAAACAAACATTTTTGAGAATATCAAATGACAAATCATTTTACTCTATTCAAATGTTGCCATTTAGTATATTCATACTATTTTCGTATACACTTTGTAAGACTACCAACACAACACACAAAATATTTTTATATTAAGTTATTATTAGTAATAACCGTACTGTCAGTAATAATAAAAATAAAAGTGATATGGCTGAGAATAAATCTCTCACAAAGAATTTCCTACAATAATACATTATCTCAATCATAGTACTATGTAACAATTCCATTTAATGTTATGTCAACACTAGCTAAAATAAAATGTCACTGTTTTGGCCTAAAGGTCTAGATGCCAGGCCATAAACTCCAAAAAAAAATGTCACTGTTTTTTTTTACCGGCTTTAAGGCTCTGGGTTCTAGCCCTTCTGAGAATGTCACTATGATACAAAAGCCCTGGAGCCATGCCAGAAATATACATTTATAGTATGCAAATATATAATAGAGATACAATAATCTAAAAACACTCAATTATGTATTATGTATTAAACTAACATCAAACAACCACAGAAAGTATGACTTTTTCCAAGTGACAGAACATAACCTAAAAAGGTTCAAATGTAAATATCTATTTTTTATCTAGCTTTCTCAGTACAAAATTCTTTGACAGGGTTTTTAAGGGACTGACGCATAACATTTTAAGATATTTCTGGTATATAGACGCTACTATTTCTTCTCAACTAATTTCATGTATGAAAGTCTGCCATTGTTCTTTCGATGTCTATAGTTTCGCGATCTCGCTTTTCGAACCCTAATAGTGGAAACGATGAAACAGGTGCTACGCTCCGATGTTGATATAAGCCTCAAGTTGTTTTGTCTGCTTAGGCCTTTCAAGGACTTGAGATACTGTCGTCGAAATCTCATGTCTCCCGTTTTCTATACTTACTATACGAAACACATCAGCATTAAGCTGCTATTTTACGCTGGTATTCTGTGACAGCATGGTCCTTCCCCGGTCGAGCCGACCCATTCGTGCTACAACCATACAGTAATATAGCTGCATCATGGCTCTACCACGACAACTGAATAGAATATTTGGACTTTGGCTACCCATTGTTAAAAGTATATGCGCAAATGCGGATTCACTTACTCGTCCTGACAACTAACGTCTGATGTAACAACTATACGATAAAATAAGTAATCTGTAATCTCGAATGCAGCGTCAGAGACAAGAGGGAGACCACAACAAATCCAATATAACCAAACATTTGTGATGTTGTAAAACATTGGCTCCTGTTGGAGTTCGATCCCAAAGGTTATTTGGGTTCCTTTTCTGTTTTCTTTTTTAATTGTTAATATTCTTTTTTCAGCCCTTGAAAGCCCACTGCTGGACAGAGACCTCTCCTCTCGTAGTAACGCTTGGTACGCTGGTTGAACATCTCAGTAGCATGTGATTAGCAACTTTAACGCTGCTTCTGCGGCTGGTCACAGGTCTGGGTATTTTACGTCTGACTTAAACGAGATAGTCATAGCGTGACTTATCAGAAGTCATTTCCCATAATCGCCTCTTATGACACCTACGAGGCGAGATATCGTAATGGATTCTCTTACTCCGCCCCCAGGCGGCACGTGAATATTGTTTTTTTTTTTTTACTAAATTATATAACGTTTACTTTGTTTACTTTATAATGCATATAATTAATTTCAGGTACCAATGATATTTGAGATGAGTAAAGCATTCACATCATCGGGAACGTTTTTAATGTATTTTAAAACGTATAGAGGATTCGCTTCGAAGCAAAGATTGACTTTTGAAATCGATATTCTTAATGAGAAGAAAGTTAAAATAAGTAAAATTGTTGTAACATTAATTCAGGTTTATTTTTTATTTCTTTTACAACACACCGTTTCGCATTAATTTTTATAATTTTATTTTTTACGATATGTATGTTAAAAGATTATAATGGGCAAATTGATATCATATCTTACTTATGTTTATTCAATTTACCACTAGGTACCTTATAGACATTAAATATTTATTAAGTGGCGAAGCTTGCGAAGTCACTTATTGATTTCACGATGTCTGTCCGTCTGTCCGTCTGTCCCACGATTATCTCGAGAACGCTGTTTTCAGCAATCGATTACTGATCACCCAGGCATGTGAACCTCCTATTTTGAAACTGATTGCTCAACGGCAACCGTTAGAAACCGCTACAAAGCTGATTGCTTCGCCACTTTGCTATGCTGTTAGCTTGCTAGGTTTATTAAAACCTATTGCTGAAAGTAGAAATTACCATAGTCGAAATAAGACAAATGGGAAACAAAATCGATATTATATATTATATACCTGTATATTATTGTGCTAATTTATACATCGGTAATTATTGAGATAATTTGGTTTCAGAAACTTGAATATACCGTCTCTACGGGGTATGCGAACGCCGAGAAAAAAATATGCAAAACAGAACATAATGCTTTGTGGAATAATATAAAAGAGAGCGCGCGAATATATATGGACGTGCCGCAAACAGCTCCATCTAGTATTAATGTAGTAAATCCAATGATTGACATTTCCTACGTGCTAAGGGTAACGACTATTACAAATAGCTTTTTTATTTTTTTAAGCTTTTTTTTTCATTGCGCATTTATTTTTTGTTGTAGGTGGAAGTTATTTTCAAATTTCACTTCACGTTACTTAAAGATATCCCAGTCACAATAGCAACGGTTCCTGTTTTGCATTAAAGTTCATAATTAATTTTAATAGAGAGACATTTAATATTTTTCTATAAAATATACAAATTATACATATATTATAAACATTAAAAAATCTATACAAATAACATTTAAATGATATTAATAAATTTGGTTGTAGGTACAATTATATCTTTTATTTGCTAAAACAAATACATAATATATATATAGACTTCTCACAACAACCATATTTATTATTTTAATTTATTTTACTTTAACTCTAAAAACAACAATATTATTGTAGAAATAATCTAATATGAAAAAAAATCGGAAATAATAATTGAAATAAAGTAAAAAAAAAATTAAAACCATGGACTGCAAATCCAAGATATATTTTTACTGCAGTTATAGTGATAAGAATAGAGTTTTTTTTCATATGTTGTTGTTGATAAGATAGTTTCCTTAGGTAATGTAACGTTACGCGAAGAGCAAGTAAGCTTAATTTTTTGAAGAAGTTCTAGGACCCGTAGTAGGGCTACCAACTGTTATATAGGTAATAAAAAAAATATAACACAAATATCATATTCAGCGACGACAGAAAATATTTCAAGTTTTCTAAAGTTGAATAAGTAGATTATCGGGGATATTTTGTAGAAAGTTGCAACAGTCTTTGTTCATTCAGCACAAATCGTTTTCAATAATCTACTCACTAATGTATATAATCGTATATCTACATGTCCATTTGCAGAAATAAACAGGCGTTTGCTTGCAGCTTAGGCAGCAAACCAATTAATTTAAAGCAGATACGATTAATGTAAAGTGTTTATTACAGCATATGAAAAGTTTAATAAGTATTTCATTATAAAAATTGAGCTGAATTAAATAGCCTTAGAAATACATTTTAATATAACATTGATAAAGTGATAAAGTAAATGAGATCAAAAAGTCCTACTAAGTACTTAATGTGTAAATGATATGTTTTGCATTTGGAGTTAGTTCTCTTGTTTAGTACAATAATTATACCTACAAATTGAGCAAAACTTAAACACAATTATTATAAATTACAATAAAAAAAATAAGTTAACATGGCCATGAACACATCGTCTACTTATAATGGTTTATAACACATGGGTAGGTACTAACTTTAAAATCTTAATAACTAATAATATGTAAGTGCTAAGCTATACATACATACGCCTACAAATCTTAGTAACCACAGTCGTCAAATAGTACTACATAAAATATTAAAACAAAGAAAAACTATATTTTAAATTCCATTGTCCTCATTATAAAAGGAAAAAAAATTAGACATTGTAACGGATGCTGATGGGAGTTACTCGGCGTGTCGCGGGTAGAAGTGGGCGCGGCGCCGGCTGTGTCACAAGCCAGCGCGGTTCTTGTACAAGTCGTCCTCGAGGTCGAACGCCGGATCCGCGTACCCGGAGTCGTCGTAACGTAGGGACCTGTGTATTGTTTTATACTTACATTGTGCATTTCATCGATTTTAGCAATTATGTAATAATTAATCATAGTAAGCAGCCCGTTGCCGTGTGCAGTGTTATTCTATAGTTTCTATAAAAATTACAAACGAACGTTATTTTTTCATTCGATTAAAAACTTCATAATTATAGGTCACTTGCTTCACTGGGATATTTTGCGTTATTTTTAAGGAAATATGTAATCATCATTGAAATATTGTATGCCATTTAGTGGCGGTGTAAGAATATCCACTACCTACCCCATATCGTCCCGTGGGTGTCGTAAGAGGCGACAGAGGGAAATTGAAACAGGTGATATGCATCATCATCTATCTTCCTGATAACAACTCAATATAATAAAAAACCTGGGGTTTTCAACTGGCTCGCCAAGCGTGTCAACTATGGCAAAATCCCTTCTCTGAGGCAATACATATGGGAGGCCTATGTTCAGCTGTGGACTTTTATATGTTGTAATGGGTGGATGGAATTAATGAATCAGCTCGTAGCAGTCCACGTTTGGCTTGAGATTGGGAACACGCATTCTAAAGGATACTAAGTGTATGCTGTGTCCCTTTGACAAGTGCATCGACATCCGTAATTAAGAATCAAAATGGAGATGTGTTGTCACCCTGGAGAATTAGACTCAGTTTCCGGTTTTCGTCTCTCACCATACAAACAGCAACGTTGTCAGCAAAAGTCACAGCAACCACTTACCATCAGGTGGACTGTGTGCTCGTTTGTCCCCTTATCCTATAAAAAAATACTACAATAGTCAGTTCGGACGTTTTATGTTGTTATAGATTTGTGTATATTCCTCTATTCTATATCCAAACGATTATGTTGTATACCAAATATAAGAGAATTGTGTCGATTATCAAAATAATTTACTCTTGATTTTCCCCTACGCTTGGGGTGGAATTTTATCTTAATATTTTAATGGGACTATGAAAGTATAGCCGACATAATAATAAAAGAATCGTTATAATCGGTTCATAATTAGTGAAGATATCGTGTAAAAAAAATTACAGTCGAATTGACAACCTCCTTTATTTTTGGAGTTGGCAAACAAGTAGCTATACAGCTTGCTTTACACGAAACAACCAAATGAATAGATCTATCAAGGTAGGTAATCGGGACAAACTGAGTGATGAATTTCACTGCTGTGTGCTTCAGCTATTGAGTGTTAAGCGACAGGCGCTGTTATTCACACTTGTCCTTCCTTCCGCTACCGCTACTCTCTATATCTTGCCGCCAGCTCACATCACAATTGTATATTACTAATGTACATCACTGAACAACTCCCAAAAAATATTTCCTTCAGGATTGTATACACCCAAATTTTACTTTATCAACTTTGAGAGTATGTTATTGGGGGCTTACACATTGGCCGATAACCACACTGATCCGTTACCGGCTGTACCGACACCGATCCGATCCCGAAACATTTGTTTGATGGCCGACGCACACAAACGAAGTCACACGTTCACGCTTTGAACATTGCGTAGTTCTAAAAGTGTGATCAAGACGTGTGAAGAAAAAAAAGGTAAATTCTAACTAAAATTTACTTTTCTACTACTACTCCACACTTTATCATTGCCGGTATCGGTGTCGGTCGACGATATAATTTTTATACTCTTTTCAGGGGATTAAGGAATATCACAATTTCCATGTCGTCTAAAAAGATACATTAAAAATTGATCCCACGCTAGAGGTGAATTTTTTCTCCAAATTTATATGCGATTACTCCTTTTTTTATATTCTACTAAGCCAGTGCTTATCTACGATTCCACCTGATGGTAAGTGGTGATGTAGCCTAAGATGCTGAAGCGCATTGACTCAACAAAAGCCACTTCACTCTTGCCTTGAAGACACCTACACTGTAATCGGATGGAAAGACACTGTACGCATGATGAAGGACGTAGCGAACCGTTTGGTTCGAATGCATGGTAAGTCAACAACTCCTGAAGTAAGCTTCATACATATTTAAGAAAAACAAAAGGAATCATACGTACATATAAAAGAAAACATACAGTCGAACAGTAGAGTTGCGAAACACTTCCTTTTTTAAAATTGGTTTAAAAACTCTGGCCTAGCAGATAATACATAATGTAAATGTACATACATACGGTTTCTTACTCACCTATCAGGAGTTCGAGTCCTACATCTCGAAGGTGGTGGCGATCGCGAGGAGGCCCGTAGTAAGGCAGGATCATCATATCGTCGCGACACGACAGTAAAGTCGTGGTGCGCGTCAATCAGCTTTTGAAGGCGGGATACCATTTCGAAGTCAGATACGGAGGACGGTACGAGGATACCCAGAAGTTTGGCGATGGAGTTCCTGCATAAAATCTTTTGTTATCCCACTTAGTTATTAAACATTTCAAATAACACTATTTAAAATAAATGTGCTTTTTATTAGACCGATATTTTACCTATTAGCACAACATACATTTTATTGATAAATTGACAAACAAATTGGCTTAGTAACAATAATTGTTACACTTCGGTTTTGAAGGAAATACTACAAAGTGTTATAGTCATTAATGCAAATAATGACCCTATGATTATAATGAAGAAAATAATTTGGTATGAACAGTGTTTTTATTATTTCTTTAATGCACTGAGTTGCCTTCACCTGAAGCTTTGTAACTGCGCTTCCCTCCTCTGACACTCTGCTAGAGCTTCCTTTGTTCTCGCCAAGTCATCTCTCAGCATACTGATCTGGCGTTCAGTAGTCGTGCGTTCCTGTTCAAATGTCTCCCCCGTGGTTCGGATTTGTTCTTTCAGACAGTTAACTTTGCGATTGTAACGCGTTCGCAGCATTTCTGCTTCTTCCAATTTCTTTTGCAGTTCGTCGACTTTTCGCGCTCGCTCTAATGACGATATCTATCAAACAAGTAATTCATTATAGGTTTGTAAGAGTTTAACCACCGTATGTTTTTAACGTGGTAGAGCCACGATGCAGCTGTATTATGGCTGTAGCACGAAGAGGTCATTTTGGCCGAGGAAGGACGAGCTCCACAGAATTAAATAGCAGCGCGAACTGGAGTACTTTTTAACTGCTAATGAGGCATACCCTCTTCGTTCTTAGGGATGACAATCTATCAGACATTTAGATTTTTTAGAAGGTAGGTCTTTGGGCCAATGTATACAATACACTATTAATCATAAACGTAAGTTTTATAGTACGCGAGCATAGTTTGAACCCCGGTCGGCAGCAATAAAACTGTTTATTACAATTTAACATGACTATGCATGTGATAATATGCTCTACGGTGAAGAAAAAAATTGCAAGGAAACCTGCATATCATAGACATAAAAAAGTCGAGTAAGTACAAAACGGGAGCCCACCAACACGCATTTAGACAACATGGCTGACTGTGCCCAGCTGTAAGGGACACATCATGTAAGCAAAATTTACTTTAAATTTATCATGCTTTTAGGCTTTAGATATCACTAGATAAAAGAAAAACCATAGTATGGACTCCTGTATCCGTTCATGTATTATTATAATAAAAAAGAAGAATTTCATGTCAAGATAAGAGTGAACAGGTTTTTGTAAATGGAGTGCGATTTATCATCTTGAGCTACATAACCACTAACCATCAGGTGGGATTGAAATTAAGAATTTGATTATACTAAGGGTACGGTACTGCGATACGGTAAGGGAACGGTACTAAGGGTACGGTTATTCCGTGCAGTGGCTGTTGCCAACCCGTTTGCCAAGCTTGGCAACTATGACAATTATCCCCATTATGAGGCAATCTAAGGGGAGGCCTATGTTCAACAGTGGACTTTCATAGGATATTACGAGCCAATGCACTTATCGCTCATTGGTGTGATGCTGCCTCTAGAGAACTTTTCATAATCAATTATTGTCAATTCTTCAGGCTATCATCATCATCATTATCATTACAGCCCTTCACAAGTCCACTGCTGAACATAGGCCTCCCCCAAGGAATGCCACAAAGCACGGTCCTGAGCCACCTGCATCCATCGACTTCCTGCATATATTACCAGGTCGTCACTCCATCTAGTGGGGGAACGCCCTACTCTTCATCCGCCGGTACGAGGCCGCCACTCGAGAACCTTTTTTCCCCATCGGCTGTCGGTTCTTCGAGCTATATGGCCGGCCCATTGCCACTTCAGCTTATTAATCCGTTGGGATATGTCGGTCACTCTGGTTCTACTGCGGATATCCTCATTTCTGAGTTTATCACGCAGAGAAACTCCGAACATAGCCCTCTCCATAGCTCGCTGAGCGACCTTGAGGTTACTTATCCGGCCAGCAGTGAAGGACCACGTCTCAGTACCATAGGTCATTACTGGCAGCACGCATTGGTTGTACAGTCTTGTTTTCAAGTTTTGAGGTATACCTGACGAGAAGATGTGCCGTAATTTCGCTGCCTAACCGAGTTGAATCCGTCGAATGACCTCTCGGTCGAAGTTGGACTTACCTAGTCGGACTATTTGTCCCAGGTAAACATACTCGTCAACAACTTCGAGCTTAGTGCAAACAACTACCGGCATAGGTGTGACATGTACATTAAACATGATCTTTGTTTTGTCCATGTTTATCTTAAGACCTATCCGTTAAGAGACACTATTGAGGTCATTGAGCATAGTGCTTAGGTCCTCCAGCGATTCTGCCATAAGGACTATATCGTCGGCAAATCGAAGGTGAGTGATGTACTCGCCATTGATGTTAATACCGTAAACTTTCCAGTCCAGAAGCTTGAAAACGTCTTCCAATGCAGCGGTGAAGAGTTTAGGGGATATAACCTCATCCTGTCTTACACCTCTCTGCAATTGGATAAGTTTCGTACTCTGGTACTGTACTCGGATAGCCATCGTAGCCCTACTCCACAAGCACTTCAGCACTTCGATATACCGACATTCAACTTGGCATCGCTGAATCGCTACTGCACCGCCCAAATTTCGACGGAATCAAAGGCTTTCTTATAGTTCACATACGCCAGACATAGTGGCAAATTGTACTCCTCGGACTTCTGTACAATTTCTGTACAAACCGAAGGGTATGTATGTGATCTATGGTGCTAAAGCCTTTTCGGAAACCGGTTTGTTCGGGAGGCTGGAAGTCGTCAAGACTGCGCGCGAGACGCTTCGTAATGACTCTCGAAAACAGGACGTAGACGCGGCTCAGAAGGGAAATCGGTATGTAGTTCTTCAAGAGAGCGTTGTCGCCTTTCTTAAAGAATAAGACCACCGCACTTCTGCTCCACGCCTCTGGTGTAGTGCCATCATGGAGGACGGAATCAAAGAGCTTCTGAAGGACTTTAAGTACCGGTTTTCCACCCTCTTTCAGAAGCTCCGCTGTAATTCCATTCTCGCCTGGGGCCTTGCCGTTTTTAAGGTGCTGGAGAGCCATTCTAATCTCGCTCAGACTGACGTCCGGGATATCTTCGGAATAGTGTCTGATAAGACTCGCTCTTGGATCGTTACTCACACTTACGTGTGGCTCCAGCGATGACGTGTACAGCTGCTCATAGAACCTCTCAATCTCACTCAAAATCTCAGGTGTCCCGGGAATTACGCTGCCACACTCGGTCTTCAGCTTCGACAGTTGGCTCTTTCTGGCAGACAGATCTCTAGCAAAGACTTTGGAGCCCTGGTTCCGCTCGATCGCTTCTTTAATACGAGCAGTATTAAAGTTGCGTAAGTCCCGCCGCATGCATTCGGAGATCTGTCTGTTCAGTTGCCTGTATGCTGTCAAATCTGTTGAAGAATGTAGCTTCATCTCCCGTCTAACAGTTATGAGATTGAGAGCGTGATCTTGATTCTTCTGCGGTGGGTCTTGCAGAACTTAGTTCCGACCGTATGGACAGTTGCCACGAGCTTGTCATTCATTTCGTCCACTGCATTGCAATCTTCTAGGCACTGAAAATGGTTTCGTAGCTCGAGCTGAAAGGTTTCGGGATTTTGAATTAGAGCACGAGGGGGACGGAGCGTTGACTTCATTAGACGTGACCTCTCCAACTTAACGTTTAGGTTTCAGTGTGTCTCTCACCATTCGGTGATCGCTGCCGGTTTTCACCCTCGCGATCACTGAGTCATCACTGAACAGTTGTCGTATGGTCGTCATAATTAAGTCAATCTCATTTTTTGTGGAACCGTCGGGACTCGACCAGATCCACTTCCTGTGGGGCCGCTTCTGGAAGAAAGAGTTCATCATAAAGAGTCCCTCTTTCTCCATGAAGTCAGCCAGCTGCTGGCCCCTTGGGTTCCGTCGCGCTATTCCGAAATTCCCTACTTTCTCTCTTGTGCCTAGTTTTGCGTTTAAGTCTCCCATTAGCACCGTATAGTGGGTTTTGGAGGAGTGCATGGCTCTAGAGATATCCTCATACTTTTACTCCACCTCCTCATTGGGGTGTACCGAGGTTGGTGCGTAAACCTGTATAACCTTCAGCGAATACCGTTTGGTGATTCTGAGTATAAGGTACGCAACCCTCATCGACACACTCCTAATCTTTACCGTGTCCTCCCCTCTCTTCGGACTTCGGATAATCCTATGACATTCCAGCGCAACTTGTCTATCTCTTCTTCCGGCTCCAGGATCATCTCGTCAGTCCTCAGGATCCGTGCGTTATAAGTTGCCAGGTCGAGTCATCGTAGGTGGCAACCGAACCTCCACCGGAGATTCTTAGCACCCCTGCCCCGCCGTTATCATGGTCACCACCGTAGCCAGGAATAGCGGGGCCGCCGGGAACTGGGGGCCGTCTCTTCTTTACTTTCATGGGGGGTATAATGCCATAGTTGCCACGCTTGGCGAGCGGGTTGGCAACCGCAGTTTTTTTATTGTTGTTTTGCTGTTATCAAAAAGATGCTGCTGCCCATCTTCTGTTTCAGTTTCCCTCTGTCGCCTTTTACGTCACCTACGGAAAGATATGGGGGAGTGAGTATTCTTACCCGCCACTACACCGGGAAGGCTATATGGCCAGCCAATCGCCACCTCTGCTTACTGATCCGTTGGGCTATGTCTGTGACTCTGTCTCTCTACTGCAGATAACAGCAGTCTATTCTTAACAAATGAGTGATGATGATGATGTACTTATATAATTGTTTACACTGTTATACCTACTTATTGTATATAAATAAAATATGAGCTCTATCTTTGTCAATTTACGGAAGTTCTTTTTATTTTCTAGTTGTTAATCGGGAAACTTTGCTGCCCATCTTCTGTTTTGATTCCCTCTGTCGCCTGTAACGACACCCACGGAACTTACTTTCACAGAAATAATTAACTTACTGACATACGCAAATTATTATTTATATTTAAGCACCGAACATTGCTCTAACGGAAACGCAAGTTAATTTGAAGGGCTAACTTTGCTGTGAAAGAATATTCCCATAAATCGGTTAACTCAAACAAACTGCAGATGTAAGCAAGATGATAAGCCCACAACCACATCGATTAACTGTCGATCGATGATTGAACAACGTTTTATCGACCGTATCCGTCGATCAGCTAAAGTTACTACACCAATCGATCGACATCGATCGACGTTGATCAATAGATTGGTGTGGTAACAACCGAAGTTAAGTGTAAGCGCAAAAATATTTTTTATGTGGTATAACTAGGGGGTCATTGTAGAAGCGTGCTCGTCGCGACCCCTGCCAGCCCTTTTCAGGGCTGCAATTCTACTCAGCTGCGCACCCATGTCAACGAGGGTTAGGGCGTCCCCCCAAGGCGACGCACACCAGCTCGTCCCCGTTGGTGTGGAATGCAGCGCGCAAAGCGGCGATGGGGACCGCCACCCGTCACGCACAGCCCGACACGGCGGAAGGTGGAGGACGGAGTGCAGAGTTGGCACGTGGAATGTTAGAGGAGGCATGAGAGATAAGACGAATGAGTTGATCGAAATAATGAAAGAAAGAGAATTAGATGTCGTGTGTATGTCGGAGACCAAACGGAAGGGCAGTGGTACTGAAGAGCTCCCTGGCGGGGCGTTTGCTCTATGGTCCGGAGTCCCGGAGAGCGAGAACGCCTGCCAGGGAGTGGGGGTGCTGCTGTCTTCTCGGTTGGTCGATGTTATGACTGAATATAAGTTTGTGAACTCAAGACTTCTCTGGGTTCGCTTTAAATTGGGACTGACGAAGTTATTCCTTTTGGCTGTTTATGCGCCGGTGGCTTCGTCGTCCAGGGCTGAGCTGGAGGAGTTTTGGGAGAATGTAAGAGAAGTTCTAGATTTGGCTAGGGGAAACGAAAGGATTGTTGTATGTGGTGATTTGAATGGATGGGTTGGTACCGCTCGACCAGGGTACGAGTCGGTACTTGGAAAGTTTGGCGATAAAAGGGTTAATGATGCTGGCAAGCTTATACTGGCGGTATGCAAGGAAAAGGGTCTTCTTGTGACAAACACTATGTTTAATCACAAGAAAATCCATATGTATACTAGAGAAAGAAAGAATGAGAGAAGTATGATCGATTTGTTCCTGGTGGATGACCGACTGCGAAAACAGGTTATGGATACGCGAGTGTTCAGGGGTGCTGACCTGGGAACGGATCAATATCTAGTGATTACTAGATTTAGGAGTCTGTTCGCGGGTTGGCGCTACCGGACGACAGTGACAGAACCACAGTCGGTCTGTCGCATCCGAAGCTGGAAGCTTCAGGAAGCGGATACTAGGGACAAATATCATGCGAGGGTAGCCGAAAAGCTTGACAACATCGATGGCAGAAACGAATGTGTAGAAAGAACATGGCAGAACCTTAGGGATGGAATGGTAAGTGCAGCGGAAGAAGTGTGTGGAACAATAAAAAGAGGCAGTAGTAAAAGAAGAGATGCATGGTGGAATGATGAAGTGAAAGAAGCTGTAAAGAAGAAGAAGAAAGCATGGTTAGACTACTTGGCCTCTAGTAATGATAAGGATATGAGAGAGAAGATGAAAGAAAGATATAAGCTGCAGAAAGTTCACACGAAAGCATTGATTGAGGAAGTGCGTGAAAGGTGTAGAATGGAAGCGGATGAAAGGTTGTCGCACAACTTTAAGGAGAACTCCAAACTCTTCTGGAAAGAGGTTGGAAGGACCCGAAGTGGTGCGACGGCCTTAAGGATGAACAAAGTGCTTTCGAGAACTAATGACGTCCTCTCAGAAAAATCGGACGTCATGCAGCGATGGAGCGAATTTTATAGAGAAATGTATGCGTGTGATGATCTTAGTGAGGGATCCGGGGATGACGCCGTGACTGGCACGCCAGACCCGGACCTCGATGACACTGAGGTCATCAGTATGAAAGAGATTGAACGTGCGATTCGAAGTTAGAAATGTGGTAAGGCTGCGGGACTAGACAGAGTTACTGCTGAAATGGTCAAGTATGGTGGGCCTCGCGTCTGGGACAGCTTTCATCTGCTGTGCAATTTGTGCTGGCGGACGGGGGATGTCCCGGATGATTGGCGATCCGCAGTCATTGTGCCTTTATATAAAGGTAAAGGTTCACATTTTGACTGCGGGTGCTATCGGGCGATCAGCTTGACCAGTTTAGCAAGTAAAGTTTACTCGAAGGTTTTGACACGTAGGATGCAAGAGAAATCGGAAAGATTTCTATGGGAGGCACAATGCGGATTTAGACCTGGAAGAGAATGCACGGATCAAATGTTTTCTCTCCGTATGATCACGGAAAAGCTTCTGGCTGTTAACCAGAAGATTTTCTGTGCTTTTGTGGATCTTGAGAAAGCATTTGATAAGGTTGTAAGGAAGAAAATGTGGGAACTGTTGCCGGGGTATGGTGTGGATGGCCGATTGCTAAGGGCTGTGCAGTCTCTTTACTGTGACTGTAAAGCCTGTGTGCGGGTAGGGCATGACCTGTCACCCATGTTTAGCGTCCAAACGGGCGTAAAACAGGGTTGTGTCATGTCTTCCTGGCTGTTCATACTGTATCTCGACAGCTGTTTACAAAAGCTGAAAGATAGCTGTTTGGGTGTGAAATTGGGTGACATAAAAGTAAATTGTCTGCTGTATGCTGATGATGCAGTGCTTATTGCACCATCAGAGGCAGAACTGCAGGCATTAGTCACGTGTATGAAAGAGGAATGTGAAATTAAAGGTCTCCGTTTGAATGCTAATAAAACTAAGGTTCTGGTATTTGAAAGGGACGAAGAGAGAACGAAGTGTGAAATATGGGTAAATCAGGAATGTCTAGAACAGGTAAATGAAATTGTATACTTGGGGAGTGCGTTTAGCCGGGATGGAAGATGTGATTTAGATGTGGACAGGCGTGTCGCTGCCGGGAACAAAGTCAATGGTGCCCTGACTGCGTTAGTCAAAAGGCAAGGCGTAGCGAAGAGTGCACGCCTTGCAATACATAACGCAGTGTTGGTACCGACTTTGTTATATGGCAGCGAAACCTGGGTATGCCAGAAGAAGCATAAAAGTAAGTTGAATGTAGTGGAGATGCGATCTCTTCGTAAAATGTGCGGCGTTACTATGGCCGACCGAAAGCGAAACGAAGAGATTCGCAATATGGCAGGTTTGAAAGATGACCTTATCACAAAAATTGATAAGGGCGTGGTTCGGTGGTTTGGGCACGTTGAGCGAATGAGTGAAGACCGAATGGTGAAGAAAACATATAGCGCGAAAGTTAATATTAAAAGGTGTCGAGGTAGACCGAGACTAACTTTCGAAGACCATGTGAGCAAATTGCTCGAAGAGGGTAGGGTCAAGAGTACTCGGATACCTAGACGTGCATGTATGAAGAAGATAATGAATCTGAAAGAAGCGAAAGAGATATGTAAGGATCGTGACACTTGGCGATCTGTTCTCTCTGGTTACCCCGTCAGGGATTGTGCGTGAAGATAAGTAAGTAAATAACTAGATATTTACGGTTTTCAGACTTTTTGCCTTGCTTGTGCTCTGAACGAGACGGAACGGTGTACGTCAACGGGAAGTTCGATTTTGATGAGTGAGTTTGAGAGTATCAAAACGTGTGAGTGTGACATAAATGGCCGTATCTTGTATTTGCGTTGACTTAGATGATTGAATTTTTTACATCTTCTTTGATTTTCATTGACTTTAGATTTGATATTAATTTCAACTTGATACTTTTTTCTGAGAAAAAGGAGAAAAAAGCAGGCGGACAACAAAGTGTAGGTCACTTAAAGGGTTCTGTTTTTTTGTACTTTAGGATGTAGCCTACTTAATTCACTGTCCACCGTGGGTGCAGCGTAGTTTTACTTTGCACGATAAGTAATTTATGAACTCACTTTGGGGACTGTTTAATTATTTATAAAAAGAAACGAAATTATTCTGTCAAATTAAATGGATTTATTAATTAGTCATTACAAAAGTTCACCGCTGAACATAGGCCACGACGTAGATAGCCTCATAAGTGAGATAGTTACCACACTAGCCAGGCGAGTTGCCAACCGCAGTTTTAAATTTTTTATAAAGGACTCCGCAATATAAGCGTTGCTTTATTCTGATTTTACAGAGGGAACAAAGAAAAATCTTAATTGACTAGTATTGCGTGGGCATTGCACTTGACATGCGGTTACCGATACCATACCTTCATCTCGCATGTCCGTTGAAGTCACGTATCTGTATGTAGTTACTCGACCTTGCAAGTGCTTTTGACTTGTCTGATTATTAAAAATAGGCGTATTAGATGTAACCTTCTGTTGCATCCAAGAACTATATCACTTATTCTTTGAATTAAACTAATTTTCAACCGACTTCAAAAAAGGAGGTTTTCAATTCGATTGTATTTTTTGTGTGTTACTTCAGAACTTTTTTCTGCGTGAGATTTTTATGATTCTTTTTTTTTATTTGAAAGGTGGTGCTTCTCATGTGGTCCCATATAAGTTTGACCAAGATCTGACCTGTAGTTTTTTAAGTTATCCTAATAATGCGTTTTTAATTGACTGCGACTACATTGATGATGTCGGTCGGTTGTACAACATTTTTAATTTTATCACTTGGTTACGGATTTTATCGTGTTTAATTCACTTATTTACACACCTCGAATGCGAAGCTGTGAGGTTGGGCTTTATTTCGATTTGTCAAGGTGACGTTTCTCGCTCTCATTAAATGTGGTGTATTATTTTTATACTGCGCTGATATAATTATGAAAAAATGTTGTAGCACGAATGGGTCGGCTCGACCGGGGAAGGACCACGCTCTCACAAAAAAACAGCGTAAAATAGCAGCCTAACGCTGCTGTGTTTCGTATGGTGAGTGTAGAGAACCGGAGACCCTTTTTACTGGAAAAGAGGCATTCCATCTTAGTCCTCACGGGTGACAACGCATCTGCATCTTGAGTCTTTATTGAGGATAGATGTAGATGTCTATGGGTCACAGTAACCACTTACCATAGTGGACTGTGTGCTCGTTTGTCGCCCTATCCTATAAAAAAAATACACATTAAACATTAAAATACTGACGAATAAAACTTGAAAAATTAAGTTTTACAACATGTATTTATAATTTTAATTATTAATTTATAGTTCGACCTACGCAGAATGAACTTCAGTTTTTTAAGTCTTACAGCGGTATACTTGGGTTGGGATTTAATTTTATTAATTATAGGATTCCAAGCAGGTGGTTGCACCCAACCAACAATCTACTCTGTTGATTTTTTTTTTAATTTCAATAGTCCTACATAGTTCTTTGGAGAAATCGGTGTACTTCTGCGAGAGTTTGTCGTTTTAAACAAGTTCACAGACTGTAGATTTCCTAAAGTGATGATGCTTCACTTCATATAGCAGGCTATATATAGCAGGCACTTGCTACTTCCATATGATAGAGGAGATCCGTCGCCGTTTGTCGATCACGTATCTCTGAGGCGTCAGGGAGAGTACTTAAATAATTATGATATGTTTAACCATGCTATTTCAAACATATTATATCTACAAAGCCTATATATAGTTACCTTGTATTCAGCGGCGTCAGCGAGCTGTAAGTTGAGGTCTCTGATCTGAGCGCGAGCGTCGCTCAGTTGCACGGTCAGCTTATCGCATTGGCGGGCCAGCTTCTTGCTGCGGCAAATTGCCTCGTCGCGTTCCGCTTGCAGAACTGCACGCACGCGGGAACTCTCTTCCTATTTATATGTACTATGATACTATATTCTGTATGATGCCCTGTATTTCTTGCTCAATATTATATACTATATACAACAACTTCTGGAGTATCAGAGATGATGACGAATGTTCTGTCTGTACCGCATATTAATAGCATCAATGAGGGCTAATAATTTTCTGCTCACCAGATGTCGCTAGTTGACACTGAGGTAAAGTTTTTTTGTTACACAATGTCATTTAGTTGAGAATTTAGTTTTTAATAAAAGTTTATCAGTTTCTAGAGTATTATATTAATACACAAAACAATGCGTCAGTGGTTTGCTCTTTAATTTTTTGCACATTGTTAACTTTTTTTAATTTTATACTTTTATGAATATCTGTGGTTTGGTTTATTTATTTTTAATGTTATTAATATAAAATATAGCTAATAGTACAAAAAGAAACAATAACTTTTAACAAATTAACTTCCCCACTATAAAATCTGTTAAATATTATACCTCACTTTCTAGTGGCGCCGTCCTGGTGGCAGAAAAAGTCGTGGATGCCTTCATTGACTTACTACAAGTATGAATCTGTCGTCGAAGGAGATTGAACAATGGACATAAAGCTAACCAGGCTCTTAAATTCATAATAGTTCTCATGGAGTTGACTGAAATAAGAAATAATATTAGGATTGGAGTTGAAGCAGCCTTTAGCAGCCATTTTCAAATACAGCCATCTTACGAATCCTGTACCTTTTAAGCTCTCTCTGTATTACTTTTACATTTAGATTTACATTTATAAAATTTACAGTAATATTAATGACCATAAAGTGAAGTACCTGCATAGTAGTGCCACGCTGCAGCTATATTATGGTTGTAGCACAAACAGTGTTCGGTTAGGAAAGGACCACTCTCTCACAGAATACCAGCGTAAAATAACAGCTTAATAATAAAATACGTAAGTATGGAGAACCGACTTTATACTTTATACTGGAAGCAAGGCATTCCATCTTAACCCTCAGAGATGACAACGTACCTACATATTGATTCTTAATCGAGGATATCATGTACATGCCTATGGTTAAAAGCATCCACTGACTATCAAGTGGACTGTGTGCTCGTTTTTCACCCTTACTGCTGCTAATTAAAGATATAGTTTGCGGTAAAATTACTCTGGAATCTATAATTAGCGTATAGGTACATATAAGTCATAAAATGTTTATTTTTATCTGGAAATATATTATTTCAATATAACTTTCAAAGAAAAGCAAATAAAACTTTATTGATAGGTAAATATAGTACAAACACTGTTTTTAAATAATTTTAATGTAAATAAAATATTTACATTTAAATATTTTATCTGCATTTAAATTGGTTAGCGACTTTTCTTATTGTATCTACAAAACTTATTTGAAAATTCTAGCGCAATGACATCAGAAAAGCATAATGATTTTTAATAACATTTTTAAAGCACTCAAAAACGCTTTTAAAAAAGTGGTTCATGTACGCCTAATAAGACCACGCTGGCTATGAGTCATCAGCGTACATCATAACTTAGTCGTCACAATCACGCATGAGAGGCGGTTTGAAGATCGCAGTGCCAGACGTCTCATACAGTTGACGTCGCAGGTGCTAAGTATATCTTTCGATGTAAAGAGATGGTTACCTCGTTACTCTGTGGTTATAACGCCATCTATCGGAATTTCCGACACATGGCAATATAACCACAGAGTACCATAGAGTGCGATTCGGAAACCATAAGATTTTTCTAGAATTTCCCATACTCGATTCTTACGACACCCGTAAAAGAAAAAGAAAGTGGCCGCTTTTTAACGCACCGCCACCGCACGGCATATTTAAAAATAGATATTTATTAAATAAAAAAAATAGAAGTATATAGTATATATTGTTTACTTTAATTTAAAAATATATTTGATCCCTGTATGAAACAATTAAATTGTTAGTTGCAATTTCAAGTGCTAATTTACATGTGCAAGGCGGTGAAGGAAAACATCGTGGAGAAACCGGTATTTCTTAGGAAGAAAAATACTTCGTAGACTTGCTTTGATCGCACGACACGTCAGCACTTCGTCTAAAACGTATTAAAATAAGAATATTCCCAATAAAAAAATATATAAAAATAAAATAATCCTTTATTGCTGTTTATAAACCACATATAACACCACTATATTCTCAATAAAGGTGCTTCAAATATACGTCATCATACGACCCTTCACCATTACGAATTCTATCACGCAGACAAACACAAGTGTATTATTGTCATAATTATATTGACATAAAATATGGTACCTGCACGCTCAATTTGCGCCGTAATAAATCTAAATGCATGTCCTTTCGTTGAAGTTGCTCCCTGAGTATTCTTATTCTCCTTTGCAACTGGTACACGACAGCGGTCTGTAAATGAGAAGGCATTTTAACTCGCACTTCCAGATCCAGACTTATCGAAGTATACCTATTAAATAAAAGTAACATTTACAAAAGAACGGTGGTACATTCAATAAAATTTAGAGACTGTAACACGCACTTGGCCTATTTTTTGTATTTTCTGCCGACTTCCAAAAAGGAAACGGTATTCAATTCGACTGTATGTTTTATTTTATGTGTGTTACCTCATAACTTTTATTATCAGATTATTATTTGTATCAGAGATGATGACGAATGTTCTGTCTGTACCTGTATACTGTATGTTTTATTTTATGTGTGTTACCTCATAACTTTTTACTGGGTGAACCGATTTCGATGATTCTTTTTTATATGAAAGCTGATACTTCTATATTGAAGTCGGCTGTACAAAATTTTTAATTTTAAATTATCTAATTTTAGATTTGTAGCTTTTAGAAGTACTTAGTTCTTTTAAACAACTTACTCCCTTAAGGATGAACATGTCATCTTTTTCTCCTGAACGCTAACATCACTTGCATGCAGTATACGAAGTTCAGGCAACCGATGGATAGTTGAAATTCCATCTGAACTCACTATACTCAAACTTTATACATTTGTGAAAGATGAGTGTTATCAGGTCGGAGTAGACGGCTCGCTCTAGCCAACCTTACTGGACAGCGTTGGGAGGACAGGCAAATTTTAGTACAAGTAGGGAAAGTTTACATCTAGGCTACTTAAAACCTAGTATCAAATCTAGTATTCATGCAGTGTCCCGATAAATATAAATAAAAGTGTCTATGCATGTGCCCATAGCAGTAAAAAGGAGAAAGAGAGCAAAGCTTACGTAAAACACAATAATCGGTGTTAAAATCAGCGAAAGCTTTAGCTGTTTCAGCATCAAAATTAACAACATGGTGCCTAAAATAAACAAACTATTTAATAATTTAAATTTTTATTATAATTAATTAAGTAATATTTAGTAAAAAAAATTACGACACTGGAATTTTATCCCGTATCGTGAAGGCGTTTTCATACATAAATTGTATCTGAACAAAGATCCATACCCTGAACCATTAGTCGTTATATAAACCCTTGTTCTGTGCGGGATTTGAATCATGGCCCGAACATCGCATACTTCTTATTTTATGAGAACTAAGATTCGACTTTAGAAAGTCCGAGCTGCAACGTTATAAATAATATCTCATACGCCTTTTCCATTCATAATATGTAGGCACTTCATTTTTCAGTTGACGAATTCTCAAGATCTCAAGCAAAACCCTATATCTCATTTATTTATTTACCTAAATATTATTTGCATAATGTGTGTGGGTTACATTTTCATTAACTATTTCTGATGTATGAAAAATTAATAAATCAATTTTAACAAAAAATAATTTTACAACAATGCATAATAATTAACAAAAACAAGAAAGTTAACCTAAGAAGCAACAATATTAAACGTGTGACACTGCAGAAGTAACCTATAGGTGGGCTTCTGGGTACGCAAAATATGGTGACTTCATTTGAACTCAATGCACAGGCAGCCTTAAAATATAATAAAAAAAAATCCCTGCACGCACGGTAGAGAAAGTAATTTGACCTTACTTTGCTTATACTTATCTATATAATGTTTTACCGACAATGGTTTACTAATATCCGGTATTTTAGGTTGTTGTAATTAGCTCGCTACTGGGATAATCTAGTCCTACTATAGATATAATTATAAGCTAAATTGTGCCTAGTAATTTATGGTGTAATTAATTAATAAAGTTATTTTCTGAATTTATTCAAATAATGTGCCTATAACATAATTTCATATTTGCGTGCAAGTTGTCAAATTTTTCCATTTAATTTTTAAGATGCTTATTTATTTTAAATTCTACATCATAGAAATCATGCCAATTGGTTTACATTTCTTACTTCTTTTAAATATGGCAAATCATGGAAAGATCTTTCCCTGCGCAGGCGCGGCAGCGTGCCATAGTATCCGTAATATAGCAGCTACACAAACACATTGATACGTATACATAAACATACACATAAAACACATATACATAGGAAAATTATGTTGCTGGCAATAATTCTTGTAAGTCCGTGCTCTAAGGTGTAAGCAAATTGCATAATTATTTATTATGTACATGTTTATATGTACATCTCTTTTGTTTTTACAAAAAAAGTCACATCTACATTAGGAATTTCTTTTGATCGTGAAAAAACTTCACACATGTAAGTACTTATACTATTTGGAATTGGAACTCGGGGACCGAAGCGCTAAATTCTTACTACCATTGCCCTAAGTCTTTTGTGCCTTCGTCATAACAACCTATATGTGTATACTGTATATATAATATTTCGTAATCAATATCATAATATCTTTCAAACGTTAAAGTCTACTCAACTACATCTATGGAGGGACGAGTGAGTTTACAGATTTGCTTGCATCGCCACTATATGACGAGTCACATTATAATTACATACATCTTGGTTTTTCAATAATTTATTTAAGTATTTAGTCATTCCATAAGAACACACATCCATCCAATAAGGCGCATCTGAAAAGTATTCTCCTTACATTATCTTACATTCCAACTGCGGCATAGACATAATTTACATGCCATCCCTAGGGCTGCCAACACCGATGTTAATTCATATGTTTTAAATATATTTTTATACTAATAGCCTGTTAATGTGCATTGTTTCATGTGACGCGGCATAGTTGTTTAGGATAGGGTCAATGACGCGTCCTCATACCAACCACACTTTTTTCACGTGAACTAGTCTCGACTGCGCAAGGTAGGAAGAGAGAACGTCTCCTCCACAGTCAGACTCTCACTCGGATTGATGAAAAGCTGGCTGGTTTCACATCTCAGTCAAACCATGTGATTTGATGTGCAGCCATAGATTATAATCTATGTGTGCAGCTAAACGTGTTCATCGTGGTTGTTCAAGCCACGGCTAATAAGCCCCGGGGCTATTGGAACCCAGGTAAAAATTGGATTGTTTTGAAATATCTCACAAGCTGCCTTTAGCACTTCATATTCTTCGAACCGAACAGGTAATAGGGTATAGGTGAGACCTGCCGCGACTAAGTCTTAGTGGACCCTTCCACATAAATAAAGTAGGTATATTATCGCTCTCTGTAATGTTACAGTTTATCTGTGATATAATGTAGATATAAATATTTGTGTACCTGGTGCACAATTATTAGACTTTAACCAATTATATATATACAACAAGCAGGGCTAGCTTAGGAGCTAAGTTCTCGCAGTTTCTAAGAGTTCGTTCCCTGTCGACATTACATAATTTTCATGTTAAAAATTCATCTCGTACGTGTTAGAGCTAGAGACGCACTGCAGCCACAGAGTAAAGAGTAAGGACCAGAGGGGAAGCTTCTTAACAACGTCGAAAATGTATACCTATTCTGATAGGGTTGTCACATAATGCATGTGAAAAATTTAAGGAATAAATGGTGGTGGTGATGGAGCCACTGTTGGTCCACTGCCTACTACCACTACCTACGATACTACCACTTCCACCACTACTGACACCATCAGCTACACTATCCACCAATACCAGCACAACTTCCACCAACACCAGCACTACTTCCACCAACACCAATCCCACCACCCCCACCAATGCCTGGCGATTGTATTCCAATCATAATGCAGTGGTATTTACCCCTGGGGTCGCGACTCGCAAAAAGTAGCTTATGTCCTTCCCCAGGAAGCAACCTATATACTAAAGTGGGTGGATAAATTCACACATTTAGCCTTATTGCGTAGGATATACTGCCATCTGCAACACTGTCAAGGTTAAACTGACTAACGTTTCAAGTAGATGAGACCGACTTCATCACTCGGCGACGTACCTGTCTAACACATTCTCACTTACCTATCAATGTTATTACCTAGTTTTATTGTATATAATACGTAAAAAGGTTACTTACTTAGTTCACTTGATCTCTCGGGTACAAAAAAAGGAAATATCGTTATTTTCTCTAGAATTATTCATGTATACTGTATTCGTACAACTATTAGACGTTTTTGCTTATACAGAACACTTATTATTTACCTATATAAATTTATAATAACTTAATTCTTAATTATTTTAATTAAAATACTTAAATCTGATTATTTAATAATTGCAAAAAAACTTAATAAATTAATTGATGTATAAAATTTCGAAATATTGTTGGTCTATTTATTTAAATGCGCACGACTAACAGCCCTTTCATGGATACTCTGACTGAGCCGGCGCAAACCGGTTTGTACCCCGACGGAACGTCGGTGAACCTGTCGGTGAGACACACACATCGTTGCGCTATGTATGGGTGTATTCGCCGCGACCCGTTTGTATGTAGCTTCCCCTCTGGTCGGTTTCTTTACTCATGTGCTGCAGCTATATTATGGTTGCAGTACAAAAGGGTCGACTTAACAGGGGAAGGGCCACGCTCTCACAGAATACCATCGTAATATATCAAATTAATGCTGCTGTGTTTCGTATAGTGAGTGTTGGAAACAGAGATTCTTTTTAACCGTAACGAGGCTTGCTATGTTAGTCCTCTGGGGGGACAACGTATCTATATTTTAATTCTTAGTGTAGCCTTCTTTGTTTAAAGTTGGTTGGTTACTTATGACAAGTCTGTTTGTCACTACAGTTTTGTAAAAAGAACAATATAGAAACAGTAATATTGCTGTGCTTCGTGTGGTGAGTGACGTAATTTGGAGACCTCTTTTACTAGTAGGGAGGCATTCCATTTTAGTCTTCAGGGTGACAAAGCACCAGATGTGCATTTTGATTTTTAACCAAATTATCAATTATATTTTTAGGTGCCGAATTACCTGGTCATTAGCGGTACAGAAAACATTTCGAGAAATATTACAAAAACATGTGAAGTGCAACACTTCACACAGAAGCAGTTCTCGAATACCCGTTCCTCATGCCTGCTCCATTTCCATGAGAGACCTCTGCCCATTTGTGGTATATATGTATCAAGGCTGTTATTTTTATTTTACTTTAGTAAAACTACGGTAGAAATTAATTTATTCAAAAAATTATGTTTTTCTTTAAATTATAATAGCCTAACAAACTGTGTTTGCAAACGAACCTGATGTATTTTAATTATCAAATTGAAGTGACAAACAAAATTACCGTCCGTTTGAGAGTAAGTAAGTTTAAGTAGCTACTGTGCAGCTCATTGACGCTGGCAACCAAGCCTGCAGGTACGTTGTCACCTCTGAGGACTCAGATGAAATGCCTCACAATATATAATTATACTCACTCTATATATAATTCAGACTGGAGTACAGCAGTGCACGCGCTGCCACTAGTCAGCAGAATAGGAAATATAATATGTACCTACCCGATTAGACTCCTAGGCAGAAAATGCGTCTTGCCGCCTAGTGGTATAGTGTTCAATGAAATAGAATGATATCTATAGCTAATTCTAAACAAAGAATAAGTTCGTTGTCAACTCGGAGGACTAAAATGGCATAGCCTGTAATATTTTTTTATAGAATAATTATGACATCTATCCTCGACTGGGAATTAAAACGCAGATGCGCTGCCATTCCTAAGGACCATGATGGAATGCCTCGTTTCTATCAAAAAATATCTCTGTTCTCTACACTCATCATACGAAACACGGCGCAACATCGATCACTAATTTAGTTTAGTGATCGATGCAGCGCAAGCTTACGTTGGTATTCTGTGAGAGCGCGGTTCCTGCCCGGTTGATCCGACCCCTTCTACAACCACAATACACCTGTGGCATGTCCCTACCACATATTAAAATAATACTGGGCTTACTCCGGACAACAAGTTTGACTAACACAAGTGACAAAAATGTTAACCAATATTTAATGGACAATATTTGGAATAGTGGATCAATATTTAATCTCGATATTATATTGAGCTTGGTGAATATTGGTTGATGTACTTACGAAATAAATTTTTATTTTCATCGTTCATCTCAAAAAAGTATATTTAAGAAAAATCGTTTAAAAATGCAATTTGCAATAGCAACAAAGTACATTTATTTTGTGGTTGTACATAAAGAAATGCCTCTTATTAGAGCATTACTTGATGCTTCGATTACAATCACTCAGGAAAATATATGAAGTCTTTAGATACGCCTTTATCGTTTTGTGAATTATTACTGTAATGAATAAACACAATTGTTTTAATATGATACAGCCACAAAAATTCCTCAAATACGAATACTAAATTTACAAAAATAGTAAACGAATTAATAGCGCCTTCATTGCAGGGGTTTTATTTTTCTAGGCATTTTTCCACAGCCCTAAATGATTACAAGATTAGCACGATAATTATAAATGCGGTAATTTACCCAACAGTAACTTTCCAAGTGACTTGAATAAAGTTTTATTTAAATTATCATGCCGCAAAAGCGTGAACAATGATATTATTGCCAGCAACATGTTAAAAACGAAAGTGAAAACTATAGAAACATTTAAAAAAATTGAAGGCATTAGAACAAAAACTTAATAAGTTATGTATAATACAAGAAATCAAATAGACTGACAATATGAAAAATCAACAATGTAAACGTGGAGCAATAAAATTTATTTTATGTACAATATCGTACAAAAAAAAACAAATAAACGCATTTATGCACCATTCTGTACACGATCCAATTATAATAACTAAACGTTGGAATGTTTAATCGGATAATAATATTTTTTCCCGTACATACAAACTGACCTTGTCAACAATTTTATCGCTCTCAAGCCTCGCCAGTTGCTCGGCCCGGTGGATAATCGATTCAGTGTGGAGATCTATGCCGACATCCTGGGTCAACTCATCCATATTTAGCGTCCTGCTCAGACGCTCGAGGAATGCTACAAACTGTAAAAGTAATATATAATAATTTTCTTTTTTTTATATAAAGTAATGATCCGCAGGCTTCGAAGTCTTCCGAGCTGTTTTAATACTGCCCATTACGTTGATAATTTAGATAGGTAATATAAGTAAGTTACTAACGTTAGCTTTATCTTTACGAAGGCTATCGCGAGAATGTTCCATTGCGTTCAGTTCGGACTCCAATTTGTGCACTTTGGCCTCCAACATGTTCCTCTCGTCTTCAAGAATTCGAATCCGGGTGTTAGCTTGTTCGGTCATATGCGCGCTTTTACTCAACTGTTGTGACTCCATATTTAGTTTTTCGCGTAATGTTTCTATTTGCTGTAAACATCAGAAATTAATTATGGAATTCAATGAAAAGTCGTAAGGTACGATTATATACTAGTTCTATTAAAATTATTTATTGAAATATATAGATTCTCGATCACTTAATCGAACGCCTCATTTGTTGACATAAGGTAATAAAATAATATGTAACGTATAGTACCTTGGGCCGGAGCTACACTAGGCCTATTATTTATTCTGTGGCTCGACATTAGAACAAGTCTTTAGTTCCTTTTTGTTTGCGAAGACACGGGGAAAACGAATATTCCCAGAAGTGAGACCCACCTCGATCGATTGTTCGACTCTAAATCCATAAATAGTATATTTCGTATATAGTATAGAATAACTTGTATTAAAAGCCCTCCGCTGATTATAGGCCTCCCCCATAGATTGTGTCATATAATGTCCCCCATATTTGCTATATTTTATTATTTTAAGCGGTTATCGAAAAGATGCTTTAGTTGTTTAACTCCTTTTTTTGTAGTCGGTAGAAAATACTCAAAAATAGAAAATGGCTAAGTTAACCTTACGAGTATTATTACTTTGTGGCAACTTTGCCTTTGGGGTTTTTAATGAATATAATACAATACAATATTATACAATAGTATTTGTCTTCAAGGATGAAGGTACATTTATCACATAATACTCGTATACTATACAACATTCAGAATCGTTTGCTGATGATAAGTGGATATTGTGATTCGTAGATACATTTGTTTTGGAATAAAAATTAGAATGCAGATGCGTTGTCACCCCTGAGGACTTAGATGGAATGCCTGGTTCCAGTAAAGGGTCTCAGGTTCCCTATGATTATAATACGAAAACACAGCAGCATTAAGCTGCTATTTCATCATGGCAAGCATAATATAGCTAAAGCATGGCTCTACCTCCTTTTATAATACATTTTTTGGAAGACAAACAACAATTTTCAGTCATATATTTAGGTTGGAAGTGAGAGAAAAGGTGGAACGACACCCACGGCACGATATGGGGCAGTGGATGTTCTTTCACCGCCATTTCACGGTTATCGGAATCGAATGGAATTAGAATTAAAATCAGATAACCACCCTGCTAAGTATTGATCTAACAGAGATACCGTTTCTTCATTACTGGTATGGATTTATTATATTTTATGCGACGGTTCAGTACCGCACTGCACTGGCTAAGCCTTTGGTTGCGGCGCTGCGAGGTTGCGGGATCGAATCTCGAGAAAAAAAACAAGTGTTTGTGTGGCCTACAAATATATTTTTCATTTTTATTTTCAAAAAAGTTACATCCATGCTAGATACATTAATTGAATATAGACAAACATTCTGACCAGGAGCAATTATTTATAGGCCATTCAAGCACTTGTTCTATGCGGGATTCGAACCTGCGGCCCTTAAGCGTCGCGGCCGAACATTTAGCCACTGCGCTACCGAGCCGTCATATATACTACTATACTACACTTATTTGTTCTAGGTAAAAGTTCTTGTTTTTGTTTGTAATTGCCTCCAGGGTACCGGAGAAGATCATAATGTTAGGCAACGTTTAAAAAATTATAAAGAATGAAAGACAAAAAAGGCCTCCTCCACAGATTGTATGTGTAATATGTAAAACTGTTTAAAATAAAATGTTTTAATTTGCTTGTAGAAATTTCAGACTAAAGGAATGAGCTAGATAAATTATGGAAAAGTAAAGTTACAGCCTATATAAAGATAATGCTCTTAGATAAATTTAAAAAAAAAACATGCGTGAGTGTCGTGGAACACTTGGTTGGAACGAAGTTCCTTTCGTAGTATATTATTATTGATAAACGTATTATATTAGAGATAAACAAATACAAATAAATTAATTACATACGAGTACTAGCGTCTATTAAAATGAAGCGTCATTGAAAATAATATTTCTGTCATGGCAAAATAAGAAAAGTGCGAGGGAGATTAGATATTATTCCATTTTGCTCGCACTATAGAAAGGGTCGTGACCGTAAAATCTTACACTTTTTCTCGCCTAGTCCCCATCCGCCAAATTAGTACCATGCGATATCGAAAAATACATTAAATATAAACCACTTACTGCAGCCTTGTCCTTATTTTCGCCTAAAATTTCTCGAATCCTATCCTTGATTGTGCTTTCGTGAGCCTCAACGAAACGTGTAGGCAAACTTAGGACAATAGCTATTGATTCCATTGTGTTACGAAATTCTGTTTGTAATCGTTGATATTTATCGTCACGGTGTCTCAAATCCTCTGTAAAATAAAAAAATTAAAATATGGAGTTTCTGTTGCGTCTTTATATTACTTAAGTACACGAGTTTAAAAGAGTTGAATGTAAATTCAAGAAAAACAACTTTCTTCTTCGTGAATCCCATATCTCTGGTGCCCTTTGACCTACAGGACCCAAATTCAAACTCGACCGAGCTGCTACCTCAAGGTATCGACATACCAAATTTAAAGTCAATCGGTCCAGTGGAACGGAAGTTATCGTGTCGGCATACAGACTAACAGACTGCCAGCTAAAACCATTAACTTCCTTTCAATGCTACGCAGAAGGAAGTTAATAAGATTAGATCAGATTTTAAGCGAGCAACAATAAAAAAAATAAAAAATAAAAATTCCAATGAAAGAAATTACCAAAGCATTAAAAAATATTTTTTTATTTAAAAATACGGATTAAATCCTACCTTTTAGCTGTATAATAATTGTTTCGTTTTGATTAACATTGTCGGTTACAACGTTTAAATTTTTTGTACAATGAGATAGCTTTTCCCGTGCTTCATGTAATTCCCTTTCCAAAACTCTATTTTGAACTGTAAGAGATTCTTTCTCTTGTTTTAGTCTTTCGATATCAAGCAATTGAGAGGAAAGCTGGCGTTGCAAAATATCTTTGTCGGCATTGGATCTCTCTAAACTATCCCTGCAGCTTCTTAGGTCTTGTTCTATGGTAGATAAACTTTCTGTTATATTTAAACATTTGTTTTTGAGTCTAGCTGTTTCTTGGACGAGCTCTGATGCCTTGATGATTAAGCTTTCTGGTGAATGGGTATGAGTAGTGTCACAAAAATCAGATTCTAAAGCAGCTGACAGCCGACGGACTAAGTCTTGGAATTGGCATCTAGCGTTCTCTTTTTGTTGTTCTTCATTATGACACTCAAGTTCAAGAGAACGTATCTTTTTTTCTAAATCTTTTATTTTCTCTTCAGCGTAACGATTGTCTCTTTGTAGCGTCTGCAAATTGAGATCGCTCCTATTCTGTGAAGCTTGTAAATCACGTTGAGTCTCTTCGAGATTTTGAATTTTGTTTTTAAGAGATGATATGATTGCATTTTGGCGGGCGTTCTGTTCTCGTAGGTGGTCGATTTCAACTTGTTGCTCCAAAATCCTTTGGTCCCTCGACAGCATTTGGTTTTTTAAGTCGCTGTTCTATATTGTTAAGAGTTAGGAGTTAATAATTCAATATTATTATTCGATTTATAGTAAAATAATTTACAAAGTCGAAGCAAATTTAAATTGTGGATTACAAGTAAAAGCGTTTAATAATTTGATTTAAAATCTGTTTACTTTTTCTAAAAAACTATACCAAACATATAGATAAGACCACACCCAACAATAGCTCTGCTTAGAATCATACTGTAAACCCCAAAATCGTGTTAAACTTTTAGACCATACAGATGCGGTACAAAGATACGCAAAAGCGGTCGCCACAATCAGGTATCTTTGCAAATTTACATGTTTATAACATAATTATAAAAATGTATGTGTGTAGGGAATAATGCTTACTTCGGATATTAACTTGTCCCGTTTGTACTGTAGAGCAGCCAAGTCACTCCTGAGAGAAGTGATTACGTCATTTCCGACATCTATAATTTCCATCTGTAAATTTTAACTAATATTTAGTAACAAAAAAACTTAAACAAATAATACTTAAATAGGTTTTAAACATACACGAAACCAATGAATAATGAATAAAATGATGGCACTGAACCCGATAATGCAATTATTTTCAATCAGAAGGAAGACGGTATTGCATGACGTGTAAAGGAAGACTGCTGTAATTGTTCTTTATAGGTACGTATTTCTACAAAACGTTGCGTGCTTGGGGTTATACGCTATGCTCATTGGGAGTCACGATATTTTCATACGTTTGTATAAGTTTACGTTGATGCCCCGTTTGCGATACTCTTCTATGTAATTTACATAAAACGCGGAAGTATTTCCCCCATATCAATAGATTTTATCATATCTTATCGATTACGTTGTGGTTGTTACGAATTTTAAGTTAAAAATATAACCGGTAACAAAAACGAAGAAAGGTACACGTCATCCCAAATAAAACCAAACTCTTGGACAGGTCCGAGGTCGTTACCACAAAGCAGACCATCAATATCATCAATTAGATCAACGTCTCAAACTGAACCTGCGCAACAGAAATAGACTCCTTAGAAGCCTGACTGTCGGGATCAAAGAAAACAATGTTGTGGCACCGAAAATGAAACGAGACTTTATAATCAAAATTATGTGGGATGACGATGGCGAAAGCCAAAATATAATAAATAATAAAATTTGGCAAATTCGATTCCAATATGGAAATGACAGATTTTATTATATAGATACTGCGATTGGCGGTATCTGCTGGTGAGGAAGATAGCCCTGTTGAAGATGAACAAGATTTTATAGTGGAATCTAATATTGAAATTTGGTCCATATCAGACTAATCGTGTGCCAAGCGCTGGACTATCGATGGAGTTACCACAGAAACTTGTACGCATGTTGCGGCACAGTGTAGGGAACAAAAACTATAAGTTTAGTATGTGTGCTGCAGAAAATACTTCTCTGGACGTTATGTAAAAGGTATTGATAGTTTTAGGTGTATCATTTATAATAACAGTTTATTACGAAAATGAAATGAAAATGAACAAAGGTTGTATCTATTAAATTTCATAATAAGTAATTACAAACTGTGCTACCAGCTCTTGTAATTGTTTATTAATGTTCTCCAGACCGAAATTAGGTCACGGGGCGGCGGCCAATCTCAACTTAGACTAGCTATCTGTGCAGTACAGAATTATAGTAGCAATAACCTTTATTGACTTGGATTTTTTGTATATCAATGGATATATTAATATTATGCGCAATAATTGATCACCATATCTTGTGAACCTTTTATTGAGTTAGTAATTTAAGCTTTGTATGTAAGTATACTAAAGGAAAATATTTTTTATTGCACTTGACACTTCTTTTTGTATTTTGTATTGCGCTTGAGTAATATTCCTAAATTGAAATCAACGGCGAATCATAAAGATGTTTTGGCTGATTCTGGCCAAGCCGGCATTTCATCTTCGCTCCTCCAGGTACACTTACATATTCCAGTAGAACTATGGATGGTAACTTATTAATTTATATATAGGGCGGCCACTACAAGTTTACTAACCCCCTCAAATTAAAGGAAAATACCGCATTAACATGAAAAGTAGACTTGTAATTAGAAGTAAATCCTACCTAAATTAGTAGTATATGTGGTCCATTTCAGACCATCATTTTGCCTCATGTGGTTAGCGAATGAAACCTTTTCATTGGCTTTAGAGTCGATTCACAGAGTCTAAAAACAATGTTGGTCAAGCCCGGTGTTGGAGGGTTTCGCAGTCCAACCATTTCTACCTCATACCGAGTTGGCATAATAGCTAAAATGGTCTACCAGCTCACAATCCGGTAGTTTTTGTAGTTTAACCCATTAAACGTTATTTGGCTAAAAATAATATTTCCCAAAAACTTTTTTTTTTTGTTTGCTTGGTTGCTTTATTTTATTTATTTGCCAACCAGAAATATAATATGCTAAATAATATGTATAAGAAAATAAAAAAAATACTTAAGTATTTACTTAAGAAATACTTAAGTACTTACTTAAGAAATACCTTTGATACGGGTACAACTAATTCACATACCTAGTCAGGTCATAAGTATTGTCACACAGTAAAAACTTTTCTTTTAGAATGCTGGTCACAAAAAAGTTTATTGGATTCGAATTTCGAATTGTTCATGAAAATAAAACTGTATACTTTTTAGAACTTTACTCATTTTTAAATATGGAGTGGACGCTTAAAGAAGACCGTGTTGCAGTTATTGCGTTGCATCGTTGCGATTACGCGCCAATTCAAATTTTTGACATACTGAAAATTTTGAATATAACCAAAAGATTCGTTTATCGTACCATCAAACTATACAGTGAAGACTCTAGTGTAGATGACAGGTCAAGAAGTGGTCGCCCTCGGTCTGTTAGGACTCCAGCAGTGATAAAAGCTGTGAAGGCGCGAATTCAAAGAAATCCCAAACGTAAGCAGAAACTGTTGGCCCTTCAGATGGGGTTAAGCAGAACCACGGTGAAAAGGGTGTTAAATGAAGACTTAGGGCTTCGGGCATATCGAAGAAAAACAAGACATCGTTTGAATGCTCGTCTAATGGACCTGAGACTGAAGAGATGCCGCGCTTTGTTGAAGCGGTACGCGGGAAAAAAATATCGGGAAATTCTTTTTTCGGATGAAAAAATTTTTACCGTAGAAGAGACCTACAACAAACAAAATGATAAGGTGTACGCACACAGTAGTGAAGAAGCGAGCAACCGTATTCCGCGTGTCCAACGAGGTCATTTTCCATCCTCGCTCATGGTATGGTTGGGAGTTTCTTATTGGGGCTTAACAGAGATACATTTTTGTGAGAAAGGTGTAAAAACGAATGCAGTTGTGTATCAAAATACAGTCCTGACGAACCTTGTGGAACCTGTTTCTCATACCATGTGTAATAACAGGTACTGGGTATTCCAAAAAGATTCGGCGCCATCTCATAGAGCGAAGAGCACACAAGACTGGCTGGCGGCGCGTGAAATCGACTTCATCCGGCACGAAGACTAGCCCTCCTCCAGTCCAGATTTGAATCCGTTAGATTACAAGATATGGCAACACTTGGAGGAAAAGGCGTGCTCAAAGCCTCATCCCAATTTGGAGTCACTCACGATATCCTTGATTAAGGCAGCCGCCGATATTGACATGGACCTCGTTCGTGCTGCGATAGACGACTGGCCGCGCAGATTGAAGGCCTGTATTCAAAATCACGGAGGTCATTTTGAATAAACTTTAGTGTCATAAGAATCTATGTTTTGTTAAGTTCATTTTGGTATATAAATGGTTACATAATGAATAAACTTGTTTCAATTATTTTATATTAAACATGTGACAGAATTTATGACCTGACTAGGTATATCTTATAATAGGCATTTTAAAACAAATCTAAATTTATTTTTATATTTATCACGTAAGTATATGTATATGTAAGATTTTCGGTTTCAATAATCTTTCTATTATTGCATTGACCGTCTTCCTTGCTTTCGTACATATAGTGTCAGTGATTTATGTAACAAACTAAAGTAGACCTATGCTTTGATTGAAAGCGGCCATTTGTCAATCACATCGGCGTACCTGTTTGTGTATTATTTGTTGGACGGACGGACAACAAAATGATCTTAAAAGCTTAAAAGTGTTCCGTTATTTTTCCTTTTGAGGTAAGGAACCCACAAAACGGGTAATTTATACAACAATAAAGCGTAGAAAAGGATGCTATGCAAACCGATTAGCGGGCACAGCTAGTTTTGCAATTTTTCTAAGATATGATAATAAATACAAAATGTAACATTATTCGCTAATGTCGCTACACATTAAGACAGAAATAGTACGCTCAGTAGCTTAAAAAAACTTACTTCGACTGTACTTTTATCGCACAAAGTTTCAAAATCCTTCCAGTTTTCGGCTTCGTCCTTACTTTTTTCATCACTCATCGTTTATAACTCCTGCGTAAATAATAAAAACTACTATAATCAAAATATTATATTTCAGATAGTTGGAGAACAACACAACACCAAAAGCGTTGCTATGAACAGTAAGAATGTAAACATGAAAATCGATTCAGCAGTTTCAGTTTATGTGTGTAGTTAATATCCGAAATACGCTAAAGTTTACTTAAGATATACTTTTTTTAAATGACCTAATCCAGGAATATTATACTTCTTTTATATTAGTGACTGTTTTTATAAACATGCCTTAATAGAAAAACTGTTTCAAAAGAAAATCATGATTTTTCATGTAATTTCGACCCACAGTAAACCCTGTGTATCCGATAGGAACAGGGTTAAGAAAGAAAGTAAAAAAAAGTTTATGTAGTAACACATTATAGCAATTTGCATACAATAATAACAGATTATTTTAGTAAATGGTTATTAAAAAGGTACCCAGCTCAACATAGTCTTGGTAGTAAAGTACCTCCTACCAAAGTACCTCGACTCTGATTTTCTGTGGCTGAAAATAAAAAAATTATATTTAGATGTTCGTTAAGAGTAATCGCCCCAAACATAAATTATTAAACGTAGTGCAGTGTTGTTTATATACGCTTTATTGTTTAACACACTATCCTGTTTATATATATATATATGTTTATTTTTTATATCGCATGTCTCAATAATACCTATTCTTAATTTATTTTTACTTCGTTTATATTCGTTCGGATGCTGTAGCTTCATGCGCGTGTTTATCTCTTATGGAATCGATTGTCGGAGCGCTGGAAGGTAGAGCACAGCCGTCAAACAAAAATGAGTGATACCCATGGTGAGCGAAATGAGACTACTGATGAGGAAGTTTGGACAGCCTGGGCATCCCGTCTATGGAACCACACACGACTTCGATTGTTTTGGACATCACAAAAAATATTCCAAACAAACCGGCTCAAGAAACTCTTATGAAGAAAATTGATCTACTTCAACGGAGAATAAACGTGCTTATCTACTGAAGCAAGGGATAGCCAAAAATGATGTTCACGAAGAAATAAAAAAAAACTACGAAAAGAATTAAAAGAAGAAAAAAAAATGTTTAAAGAAAAAAGAGACAGTGCAAAAAAATTCCAAACCAAAGAAAAACTTGAGAAAGCTGAACATCAGAAAAACCATCCTGCTGCAGTAAGACCTCGATCTGGCCCTGGGCAGCCCCCTTTGGTTGACTCGCAACCTGCTCTCCTGGAGACCATAATTAACATTGCCATTCATGGCAGCGCTGCTGATGAACGCCGCCGACCTGAGATGATTAGGAGTTGTCTCACTCTGTCCGACCTGCATGACAGGTTGTTGTCAATGGGATTCCAAATTTCTCGAAGCGGCACATATCTTCATTTACTCCCACGCATTTCTAACACTCAAGAAGGAAGGAGGCACGTACGAATCGTACCCGTAAAGTTGGCAAAACCACAGACCGAGATGCACAAAAAACACGAGGACGGGGAATTCTGCACTGCTAAAATTAGGTCTTTGGAATCTTTCGCGTCACTTCTGGGACCGCAGCAAGTATTTGTTCTCTCTCAAGACGATAAGGCCCGTGTACCAATAGGTTTACCGGCAGTGAAAAGTCAGAGCCCTCTTTTAATGCACCTGGAATACAGAGTACTTTTATTATATGGCACAAACTTATTCCTTCTGTATACGCCGGTGACAACGTGGATCCTAACGGTTTCGGTAGGAAGAAGTTGTTGGTTACAGCGGGCCGACACACATATCTACAAGGAGTGGCAAATACGCATCCTCCAAGGCGAACACCCATGCCTACGATTTCGAATCACTTTTATCACATCAGTGTCTGCATTCAAACCCTTAATGATGACAGAATCGAACACCGTGAAGTCAGTGATCATCATATTTGTAGATGGTGGGCCGGACGAAAACCTGCGTAACCGGAAAGTCAAGAAAGAACTTTGCTATTCAACACTTCAAAAAATACAACTTGGACGCCCTGTTCACAGCGACTAATGCTCGTGGGCGGAGCGCATACAACCGAGTTGAGCGATGCATGGCTGTCCTCAGCAAACGACTGTCAGGCGTCATCTTGCCGCATGAACATTTTGGTTCTCATCTCGACAACAAAGAAATTATTATTGATGATGATTTGGAAAAACTCAATTTTCAGCAAGCTGGGGAGACATCTGGAGGGAAATGTAAATTGACAACTATGATGTTTCGGCAGAATATAGAAAGCCCGAAGATAGCTTGCAGGATCCAGCAGAACCTAATCTGGCGTGGTATAGCGCTCACGTTCGTGAATTGCAATATTTTTTGCATGTAATTAAATGCGCGGACGAATCCTTCTGTTCCCGCTGTAGGAATGCATTGAAATCTGTATTTCCGAATAGTTTTCTGTCGCCACCTAGTCAGCTGGACAAAGGATCATGCAAGTTTTCACCACTTCTTGTGAGGTTGTCCGTTGATCTGTCGCCTCCTTTAGAAGGGTTTAAGCAGATGCCTTACGATTTTTCTTTTGCCCATCAGTAAAATCTGACCTCAAGAACAGAATATGTGCAACCTGTGGGATCTATTTCACATCCCACAAGAGTGTGCAAATGCACAGTGGTTACGTGCAGGGCCCCCGTAAGGGCTACTGGCGCCTGTGTGTAAAAAAGAATTTTGGCGCCTCTTAAGGCATTTTGGATCATGTTTTTTTATTTATTTTTTTTGAAGATAGGTAGGTAGGTAGGTGCTTGAAATAAAGCAAACTGATCTTTAGAAGTCATATTTATTTGTATACTAAAATATCAAAATGAAACAAACAGAATATAATCATGACAAAATAAATTAAAATAAATTCTTGTTCACACCCATTTTAAAGCATTTACTTAACTAATGGGGTACAGACACATTGTTTATAAATACTAGAAAATAACCAAAAACTAAAAATAACACCTTTTTTAGGAACAAATAACAGAAATATTACCTAATGTCTACATATATATAAGTACTACTTTCTACTAATACTTAGATATTTTAAAAAATATGCAATATACTATGCAGATACTTCTGATAAAAAATACCTAGGTAACTTCGTTATAAAATCAAAAATGATAGCTAGGTACAATAGAAAAATACAAAATAGCTATTGTAGCAGCGATATTTTCCGAGACTTTGCTACTACAAATGCATTAATTACATCGCTAAAATTTATACCATCAAAAATTTCTTGTTCAATTGCTAATATCGCTAGCCCAGACAATCTTTCTTGAAGCATTGTCGATCTTAAATAATTTTTAATGATCTTTAACTTTGAAAAAGATCGCTCGCCAGAAGCTACAGATACAGGTAATGTCAAAAGAATTCTTAGTGAAATGCTTACGTTTGGAAAGGTGGAGATTAAATTGTTTTCAAATATATCTTGTAAAACACTTAAGGGGTCAGTATCATCAGGTAATGAAAACAACTTTAACACTTTAATTTCATTAAACAAATCATTGGAGTCTATATCCTTATTATCCTAATCTGTCAGTCGTTGTTCAAGAACAGAACAATATTTTAAAATATCGCTGTCACTTAATTTGAATATGTCGCTAAAAAATCCGAAAATATTATCATACTCATGTAATAAGTCAAATCGGTTTTTTAGAGAACTTAATGTTTGTTTTTTTTTAGGAGAGGGGGCAAACGAGCATGCGGCTCACCTGATTGTAAGTGACTACCGCCACCCATGAAAAACTGCAACACCAGGGAGGGAATTGCAGATGCGTTGCCGGCCTTTTAAAAAGGAGTACGCTCTTTTCTTGAAGGTCCCTAAGTCGTATCGGTCCGGAAAAATCGCTGATGGTAATCGATTCCACAAGGAAGTCGTGCGAGAAAGAAAACATCTTCTAAATCGCACAGTGGTGGACCGCCAATCATCCAGATGATGTGGATGGTATCTATAATTTTTAAGAAAAAACTAATTTTAAAAGCAGTTTTTGCATCATGAGGGGTCTCATCTCGGTGTTCATAGTCAAATAGTTTTGGTTTAAATTTCCTCCTGACCTTTGGTAATGGTGGAAAGTCTTCTTCAATTTCGAGAGACAGTGCTACTTCTTTCGCTTGTACAAGAATTTCTTCAAACGATTGGTCAGATGTATATTGGTGGAAGTGATCAACTAAATTTTTTAGGTAGGTTTGGCATACTTTAATATTAATTCTAGCACTTTGCATTTGTTTGCTGACAATATTTATGTGAAATAAAACGTCATGCCAAATAATAATTCTGCAAATAAATTGTTATTTTTGTACAGACGTTAACAGGGAACTCGTTTTATGTCTTGCATCAATGTGAAAGGAATTATCTTCAGCTAATTCTAGAAGATTTTCGCAAACCTTAATTAAATAAAGTTTAAGGGGCTTTATTGAATCAATTCTGCTGGACCATCTTGTCTCACTTAGAGGCTTTAAACTTAAAAAAAAATAGTTTATTCAGTAAATGATCATACATTAATTATAACCGGGGACGGGGTCTCCAAAAACTTGTGTTAGGAGACTCCGCTCTTCCATAGCACTTACATTAACTACTTGTATGACCTTTATACATAATAATTGACTATAAAAATTAAGATAATAAAAGTAATTACATTCACGCCAAAGGTGCGTTTATGCGCAAACGCGCGCGCGCGTGTGTGTGTGTGTGTGTGTGTGTGTGTGTGTTACAATTAAATTACATTATTTTATGATGCTTAAAAGAGCCTCAGTATCATCATAGCTCTTATTCAATAGCCATTTGATTAGAGCATATTTCCAATTTCGGTAATTAAGGTGGTAAATATTTATGTTTTTAATGACGTTGTATAGAGTCGCAGACTGTTTTACATATTGCCTCCTAGCTAAAGCGGTTTTAACCGTGACAGCTGTAGCTGCTACGTTTTTTCTTCTTTTGGCTACAATACAGCGGTCAAACTTTATACCTTTATGCAGTCTTAGAACGGAATATAAGATGTACAGTTTCCTAACAGTGAGTACGTTAC